TTCAAGAAGTACTCCCTCACAAAGTAAGAAGGCAGTTTATCATGTGAGATTATATCCCTTGCAAAATATTCCCTTAGCAGCGAGAAGGAGACAGTGATGTAAGAAGAGAGCATTCCCTTCCTTGCTTTTTACCAGGTACTAAGAGGGTGACCTCTGTGATTCTCCCTATAGAACAGAGGCAAGAAAAACTCTCTGTCGTGATGAAATCCAAACCCCCAACATGATGGGGCACAGCGTGAACAGCCAGACCGTCATTTTGCTTTCTTTTCCTTTCCGATAACCCAAGCATGTGTCTTGTGGCTGATGTTAAAGGTGACCTGCAAATGGGGGTTAACAATGAAACACAGTAAACCTGAAATGAGATTATTTTTTTCTGGTTGTTTTTTGAAGCATCAGGTATTTAGGCCAGTCTACCCTGTGAGATTCTGTACAACTGAAGAATTACTGAAATGGGGGCTGTAAAAAAAAGGGAACTGCAGAAAGTGAAAAGTGTTTTAGTTAGTTTTTTTGAAACCTACAGATACCTGTTTAACTTCAATGACTAAATAACATTTTGAGTAAAAGAAGCCTTTCTTAAGTATTCCAAATCCTTTGGTTCAGTTTTAAATAAACCCAGCAGCTCTTAAAAATTCTGCAGCAAAGCCAGAAAATATTAGATTCTATGTTCTTTGTGCTTGGAAGATAAATAAAGCAGGGATAGAAAAACAAACTACTTCAGGCTTTACTTGTCATAGAGAAAATAACAACACATGTATTGTTAATTGAACATCAGTCACAAGTTACCTGCTTTATTTGGACAAGGCTAGTTTGTGCTTTTAAAGCTCAAAATGGATCACAGTTCTTACCTGGTGAATCATTTACAAGATAAACCAGTAGAGCTGCTAACCAGCATATGAAATGATACGGCAAAACATGTTTGCAACTATCTGTCTGTGTGATCTATAATTTCTTTGCAGGGGAAAGTGAGATTTCGCTTCCTCACAATAAAATGAACGTTTTAAGGGGCACCTTGCCCGTGACATCTTTGAGGAGTGCATTTTCACACTGCCTCACCAGTTTCACTCCTTTCTTGAACCTGGTGCTTCTGCCTCCCTTCCTTCACTGCTTCCTTCAGCAGCAGTCTCTGCTTTTAGCTAGACCCGCATCAGTGATGCATCTTCCAGTGGGAGCCAGCAGAGCAGAACTATCAGCAAAAATGCTTTTTGAGCTCTCAGATCAGTTCCTTCCCAGGATGTTGTGTCAGCTTCCCTACCTTCTGCCTGCCATTAATTTCACTGGACCCCCAGGTCAAACAACTGGCCAAAAATCTGGAAAACAGCTGACGGTCAGAGCAGCTCCTTCTCAGCATGTCCTCTCAGAGGGCACGCTCCTGGCCTGGTCCTTTTGAGTGGCTGGACCTGCTTGACCCAATTTGTGGATTTTTGATCACTCCCCTGGGTCACTGATTTTCCACTTGAGGTTATTGGTTTGACCCCCAAACTGTGGGTCACTTGGGAGGTGTGATATGGCCCTGTGAACTCTGAACTCATCAGGAGCCAACAAAAACAGCAAGGGAGGGGGGAAGAATTTCATTAGGGCCTCCTCAGAGGTGGCAATGTCTGCCACGTGAAAAGGCAGGAGTTGTTTTGCTTCTTGCAGAAACAAGCATAGCTTCTACAAGGGCCTGCCAAGTAGAAAGTGTTTGGTTTGAGTTGTTATGGCAATTTCTTTAAGGATAAACAACAGCATATACTTTTACACCATGAGCTATAAAGTGAAAATGGTGTTGCTTCAGAGGAGCCCTGCTCTTCCTGCCGGGAACTGCCCCCAGTGTCCCAGACTTACTCCTAAAGGTGACAGCATTTCTACAGCCAGAGCTTGGTATCTGTAGGTGTTTCTTCTACCTTAAAAAGATTAACTTTCTGATGGTTAATTTGACACACTTGGGGAGGGAAGGGCTGTTTTCTCCTGTATTTTAAGACTCATCAGATGGAGGTTCATGGCAGAGGTTCATGGAGGCCCCCCAGGCTGGTTGGTTGCACTGTGAGCAGCTCCCTAAGAACAGACTTCACCGGGCATGGCTGGTAGGTGGGGAAGAATGAATCCTCAGGAAATAACTCAGCTTCAACTTGCAGTGCTGGTCATAAAAGGGAAGAAAAGTGCTGTCATTGTAGCATGTGTATCCGCATGCATAACACCCACTGGGATCACCAGGGGAAGTGAGCTGGAGAGCGTGGTGCAGCCACGAGGATATCTTTCATGAAATTTCCCCCTGGTCATGCTGCCCGGCGGCAGCCTTTTGGGCAGTTTCCAGGGTTTCCCAAGGTTTCACTCATGCAAGAGTTCTGGTAATCATTGGTTAGAACACTGCTTGTATTATTGCCAAGGCTGCTAAAAAACCTCACATACCTTCTGTCTTCCCGGGGCTTTCCTAAAGGAGCCATGTGAAGCAGATTCAAGCCTTGTCTCCATGTACAACCTCTCCTCTCAACTTCTAAGCCCTGACTCTGGGGAAGACACTCAAGAATGATATCACCTATAGGGTGTTTCACCCTCAGAGAAGGGAAGCTGGTGCTGAGAGTGAACAGCTTGGATATTTCTTTATTTTTTAAAGAAAGATTTTGCCCTTCCCGCATGTTCCTCTCTGCAGTTTATCTACACAACCAGAGACAGTATTAGCTGTAAGTGAACCAATGGTGGATTTAGTTTTGTAGCATAGGTAACAGCAATGAAGACCTGATGGCATAAGCTCAAGCAGCTTGGGTATATGCCTCGGGTTTTGCATACTTGTGCTTTGATTGCTCAGGCTCATCTTCACTGCACAGTCCTAGGTCAAAGCTGCCTGAATGCACTACCCTCTGCACAGTCACAGCTTCTGTGGCAGCAGTGTCACACTGTCTCCTAGAACTGGACCGGCTGAGCTTTCCTGGAAACAGCTCTTTTGGCTGGATGGCAAAACACATCCCCCTCTTTTCCTGCAACATCCAGACCTCTCATGTGAATTGAGGGATGAGCTGTGTGCTGAAGGCTCAGTAGATGATGCCTGTGGCTCAGTCCTGTTCTCAACAGTCATTTTGGTACCAATGTGATCCACAAGAATTTGGTTGATTATAGCTGTCGATGAGAACATCTTATAAAATCTAATATACAGGATTTTGAGCATTATTCTTATATTAAAAGGTGATGGGTGTAGGTTTGACGTTTGTTCCTGTTGGTTTGCTGCTTAACACAAAGCAGTTCCTAGCATTGCAGAAGCCTTTTATGACTGGAAGTGCATTTTTGCGCACAGAGGAATCAAAAGCTGAGTGTGATGGGACTGACTAGTGAACAAGTTTCATATAGAAATACACGGAGCAACTCTTTGGCCTGCTGTGGAAATTAGGCTTTGTTGCAAGGCGTAGGTGTGTGAGCAGAGACAGCAGTTGTCTCAATATATGTGGTTAAGAGTCCTTTTAGTATCTCAGAGGGTGGCTTCAGGCCCTTCAGCACTTTGTCTGGACTGTCTCACCCGGGGGGGGGGGGTGCAGGGGGGAAGCCAGGAGTGCCTGTCTTTGATAATGTTCTGTTTTTAAAGCAAAAAGTCTCTGGGGAGCATAGGGTCCTAAAAGTCCAAGGCCTGGAATTCTTCCTTTTGCTCTTTCCATTTTAAACAGGAAACATTTGTACTAAGTTATTCCAGGGGGAGAATTGTAGGTTCATTTCAAGGCAGATAATGTTTGTTCATTGCCTATGTCCATGATTTACCCCATGGGCTTAAACAAGTACAGCAGAAAACCACATGTTTTGTTTTACTTCATGCAAAACAAGTTCCAGTGGAGTCTGGGAGCCCAGATTAAGAAAGGGGGAGCATGCTTGTAAAATCTGTATGAACAAAAGAGAGGCATTGACGAATTGTGAACACCTGATCTGCTCTACCAGAATGATGACTTTCTTAATAAATCTATGCAAAGAATATTTAAACGGTTGATGAGTTCAGTCCCAAAGCCACAGAGCAGGTGTAATTGATTTATACTTTCAGCCCCTGTTTCGGGTCAAAACCCTGCCATCGTCCTTCAGCTCTCACTTGGAAAGAAGCTTCCTCTGCAGTAAATGGGAGATTTTGCCCAAAGCGCAAAGACATTTGCAATCAGACTGGCAAAAACTCTTAATTGAGTTGAACTTTTGGGGATGCTCTGGTGATATGTCTGTGAGAACAATTATTTCTGCCATTTCGAAAGTATCACAAGTTAAGCTGTACTAGGAAAAATATCAATGCTTCATTAGTGCAAATCATGGAATTAAGATGCAGAAAGCTACAGAGAGGGCTCCATGGCACATCCTCAGGAATGACATGTTCACATGTTGCTTTTCACGTGAACTAGAGCTTATCAGATCCATACTGATGCAGACAAGTTACAGGGCTGTTGTAATATCAGGCCTTCTAGATCACAGGAGGTTTTTTTTAAACACCCTTGGCAGCTCACCCATTAAACACAGGTATTGTAGCCTGACATCCCGAGTGTTTCTTCCAGGAGTTACAGTTTTTCCAACTGTGGTGTTTGGAAAGTTTTAAAGTCTGACATGTTAGGAGAAAAAATAGTGGGAAATGGCTTGGAAAGCGTGAATATTTGTGCATGTAAAGCTTATGGGATTTGCAGACTTGCAGACCCAACTCATCTGTTTATCTTCAGGCTAGATAAGATTCAGTCAAATATGCATTGTTTAAAGGAGCTTTGTTTCCATTATGGCAAATGGATCACAGGAGGCTGACTTTGGGAGCTGAAGGGCTCCAGTGCTCCCCCATTGTAAAAGGGCTGTGATGTGCGCTGGACCCTTCCTCCAGCGTCCTGGGTGTTACAGACTTTAGTAGCGTGCAGGTGGGAGGCTTGTTATCCTTCAGAAGTTCTTTTGATTCATCTGGACCTGTCATGCTTGAGGTGGCATTTCCTTTCCCAAAGTAAACATAGACTGTGAGTACAATAATGTGTCGCTGGGCTAGTAGACTGCCTTTTTATGTGCTTTATTATGTTTTTCCTCCTCAGGCGTGGACCTGCAGAACCACTGGAATATTTAACAGGGCCACGAGTAATATACAAAGAGAGAGATCTTCCCTACTACCAAGGAGGACAGCCTGTTGTCCACCCATCTAAGGGGAACTACATCCGTGCGCCAGACACAAGAGTGGCAGAATTGAGGTACCCCCAGTACTACCCAGCCCAGCCCGTCACAAGCCAGCATAAAGGACCCCTCCGGCAGGACGTGCCACCTTCCCCTCCTCAGTCCCACCGAGCACCAGCTTATAATGAAATTGTCCGACACCGTGGGACCAGTCCAGACCAGTACCAGTACAGGCAACAGGATCCCAGGCAGAAGAACCCCATGACTGCAGCTGTATAGCCACGCACTGGACTTGCCAGCACAGCCCGGGAGGAATCCCATCGGACATCATCCTTGTAGAGTTGTTCCTAAGCATAACTGCCTGTAAGAATGTCACATGAGACCTGGAGTCGTTCTTACTGAGCTGGCCTCAGCATAGGTGCTTTCTAACAGGCGAACTAAAGCCACGTGAGGTACGATGTGTTTTGAGTATGTGAGGTACCAGACAGTTGAGTATTTTTTAATTCCTTTTAAAAATAGAAAGTGGCTGCTGGAAATGAAGCGCAACACTTAATACACCTCAGGGCTATTTACTGAACCCAGTTACACCTATACAGTATGTAGCTGTCTGTTTAAGGGCAGTGGTGTCACCAGCATTCACTTCAGAGTGCTGTTGTAGAGCCTTTAAGTGAGAACGCAGCATGCAGTATGGACTTCGTACAGAGCTGGGGATCTGGTGATCTGGTGTAATCCAGTATGTGATCATGAGTTGACAAGGAACTGCCGCGGTGGTAGCGGCCGCATTCCAGGCACGTTCAGACCAGCAGCTCTGTGCTTTAAGGGTGCTGCAGTTCCAGATTTGTAATCTGGCCTCTGTCTTCCTCTTTCTGTTTGGTGGTGGCAGCATTTATCTTGTAGCCTTCATTTTTTGCAGTTTGTGTAGCAAGATTCTCCTCTTGTTGCACCTGCTGCATTTGGAGTAAGGCGAAAAGCTTTATCTGCCGTGCTTGGGCAGTCTCGCAGAGGACAAGGCAGCCAGCCACCTGAGAAGTGTGTGTCTGTAGGTGTTCGTGTGTGTGCTTGTGAGCATTTCTTAGTTATACATCGTGCACTCTTTAAATGTAAACCCTGGAGGTCAGATCCTCAGCTGCTTTCAGTAAGTGTCGCTCTTGGGGTTTCAGTGGAGCTGGCCTATAAGAAGTGGCTGAGGAGGTGAACGCGGGCATGGACTCCATAACTCATATTAAGTTACTGTATCAGGTGCTGCCTTGGCTCCGGCAGGGCAGCCCCTTCGGGCCGGGGTTACAGCAGAGTGCCTGCCAGCAGCGTGCCCTGCCCTTGCGAGCCTGCCGCCGCATGAAGGCACCTGTCGGTGCGGGGCCCACCCTCAGTCCGCCAAGTGAAGCTCAGCCTCGGGCAGCGCCAGGCCGGTGCCAAGTGCCAAACTACTCAAGTTCCTGCAGCCAGGGGCCATCAGGCTAGCGGGGAAAGGGGCTTTTCACAGCACGGGGTGAGGGAAAAGACAAGGAAAGCAACAAGGGAGGGCTTCAAGACCCTGGGGCCCAGGTGGAAGAGGAGAGAATAGTTGTTGGTAGCAAGTTATTTGCAGCAGTGCATAGAAAGAGGGAAGATGTGGGTGGGGGGAGGGGGCCAGCAGCGCAGCAGAGCCGTGGGGAGACAGGGCAGTGGGGTACCTGCCCGGCTCTTTGCCCCGCGCAGCCTGAGCTTGCTCTGCAGCCAGCCATCCTGGGAGGAGGTTAGAAATGCATGTCCCCAGCCACAGGGACTTGTGCTACCTGGCCCAACAGGGCTGTGGGTGCTCAAAGATTTGTCTCACGGATTTTGTTGCAGGGAAACCATACAGTCTTGCCACCTAAAAATACATTTTGTGAAGTTTCCAAGTGTCCTTAATTCCTCGACTTCTGCCTTTTGGGAGTGTTATTAAACCGTTCGGGCTCCTCTCCTCATCAGGGAGAGACTGTGACCTGGCCAAGGATTAAGCACAAGGATTTCTTTGATGTCTTTTTGACACCTTTGGTATGCAACAGATTAAATCACATAGGTCACTTCCCAGGTATTAAATATCACTGGGAAGGTTTGTCCTGCTAGGAGCGTGTCCCTTTACTAGATATCCCTGGGAAAAGGGCTTGTTAAGAGTAAGAGGTCCGTAAGGCGCAGGGCAGGGTGGGTCTATGTGCTGCTGCTTTCCAGGGGCCACCGCTGGTAGGTAATGGCCCTGATGAGAAGCAGTGTTTAATCCCAGCCGACTTTTCTTCTGTGCTGCTAATGTTGGTGACAGACTAGCATAACCCTGAGGCATGGGGAGCACTTGCGGCTGCGCAGCTGGCCAGCAGCCTCTAGCATGTGCATTCACAACAATCTCTACCCACCAGCTGGGCTGGGAAGCAGGGGAGAGGAGACAGTTTTGGGGTGGTGGGGGAACATCTCCGTGAATCAGATACAGGGCGGGACTCCCTGGGGCAGGGGCAGGCACAGCTCTAAATCCAGTCAGGAGGAAGCATTGGTGGGAGGGAGAGAGGGAGAGGAATGCAACCGATTATGAAGCAAGTGTGTTTGGTTCTTGTTCCATTTCTTTCTGCCCTCTTCCCTAGTAATGTAGGAGGGAAAAACCTCTGGAGGGAGGGTTGGATGTAAAGCTGGATGTCTCTTGGTACCCTCCATAAATAAGGCGCATTCCCCAAGGAAACTCTGCCTGTCATGTACGTGCTGTACACAGCCTTGTACTTCTCTCAGAGAGTTTTAGATGCTGTAGGATACTCAGCCAGGACTTGGCAGCCACAGGGTAGCCGCTGGTATTATGAAGGCCCGCTGAAAGTGAATCGAAAACAAATTAAAATACTTTCCTTTCCCTCCTTGAAATATAACCCCTGATACATTTGATCCAGCTGTAAAGAAACTAACGTGTTTGTGACAGTGGCTTTATCAAGCCAGGCCACAATTAAGAACAGCTCTGAATATAAGCTACTGCCTTTATAAATCACTCTCAACTAACCCTTCAAATGGCATCACAGCACAGTGAACAAAACTTATTTACAGTATTTCAGGAGCCAGGGCCAAATAAAACCTGGATGGAAACAGCTCCTGGGTTATTTATAGCCTTTGAAGGACCTGCGCAATTGTCTCCCCATAACCTGAATCTCTCCTTAAGAGCTCCCCTTGACTGCATTGGCTCCACTCGGTTGAGGCGGACAGATCAAACGAACACCTGAGCTGTTAATCTTACCCAACAGGTTATTAAATGATGCTTCTGCTGTTAGATCAGTACAAAGCTTCTTCAAAAAAAAAAAAAAAAAGTGCTACAAGTATAATATATGGATGCATCCTACAGGTGAGGAGCTAAGGAGGAAGAACAGTCTGACCTAGCTGGGGGAACAAGACCAAAAAGTATTACAGAGCATCTCATCAATCTCTGGTGCCATTGTTCTGGGAGAAAATTGCCATTTGCTGGTTTAATATCTGGTAGAGGTACAGTATTTTCAAAAGTATAATGTGTAACTACAGTATATATAGTCAGCTTCTCTGCAGTGTAAAATGTATGATTTTAGCACCATATTGTGGAAAAATATGTACCGTGCAGAATTCACGAGGTGCTACAATTGACGGTTGAAAATACACACTTGCAAAATCCAAAAGAGCCGTTAAGTAACAAGTTGTTCTTTTCCCCATATGCCCATATGTTTGGGAAAATTATGAGTCTGAAATGCTCTTAACACGTAATTGCCTCGCACTCCCTCATCCAAAATGTGCCAGTCCAGCAGTAAAGTTACTGACGTAGCGGGTGCGAAGGGAGAGTTTGGGTTTGCCACAGGAGCAGCGTGCCATAAGTGTGCGTGTGAACAGGAGTCAAGACAAGGGGGAGAGAGGCCCGCTCTCACGTGAAGCTGGAAGCTTTGATTTCCTGAGCTGGTGGTGTGCAGCCTGCGTTTCTGGCTCTGGCGCAGGGCCAGCCGGGCCCAGCAGTTGAAAGATTAAGAGATAGAAAAAGAGCCTGTGGATTTTCTGAGTGACCACCCACTAGTGAGCCATGATCTTGGCCTGCAAGCAGACAGTACCACTGTGATATATTATGATGCAGAAGTCTCCAGGCACCCCTCGAATGCATAAAGAAATATCAATTGCCCTTTGTGGAAAAAAAAAAAAGGGGGAACTAAGCATTAAAAAAAAAAAAGGCTCCTGCCTTGAAAAAGTGCATGCAGCCCTGAATCCCAATTCACTCCAGCTTCCTGATCTAGAAATAGCTTCACATGCTGCCTAATTTTTTTACAGATGAATTGTGCTACCTCCTCCTCCCAGCCATCACAGATTTGTTTATCAGAGAGTTGGTGCTGTGAGTGAATCCCACCGACTGCTCTGCCAGGGCCGCATCCTGACACTCTGCTCTGAGCAGGGACTGCTGTGCATTTCCGAAAGGACTTACACCTGTGCTCTCCATCACAGTTGTTCTGCAGAGCCTCTAAGCCTTACGTGCAAAATCAGAAGCGCTATTCACTATCTCTGCATAGAAGAGAAGGCTTTATAACACACTATTCTGTTATTGTGGGGGAAAGAGAGGTGTTTGTGATCATGACAATACCTGTGTGTTTAAGTGAAGCTGATTTAAAAATCATGCGTGATTGTTTTGGGGGAGAAATTTAACACACAATTTGAGAGGTTTTTTCTAGTACCACATCAAAGATTTTGATCTTTTGTTACATATGGCTATATAAATTTTACCTGTTTTATTTTGCATTAAAATAAAGGTTTTAAGACTATATATGATTATGTATTTGTATGTAGAGTCTTTCTCTTCTTTGTATCTACAAAGCCACCCTCATCCCTGGATGGGATTTGATATTAGAAGATCATGCGTGATCAGGCCGGATCAGAATTGGTAAGGTGACTTTTAAAAAAAAAAAACGAAACAAAAAAAAACCACAACAGCCATGCGCTGCCTTGTAGAGTAAAAACATCACAGGGCTTAACTTGATTCCCTCTCAAATCTGCATTGTCTTCAGTTGTGGAGCCGGAGTCCTGATTTCATAGCCCTGATTGAAAGGAGAAGCAAGAGAGAAGTCCCTTGCCATCTCGGCGAATTTCAGCTTAGGCAACTGCATGTTTGTTGCAAAAGTTCCCCAGACAGTTTCATCTCAACATCGAGCTCTTCTCTTGCTGTCGATAACAACTGAGGTGTTCTGCGGCCATGTAGCAGGTACCAGGTCCAACCAGCTGAGGCTGTATTTCAGCAAGATGGCTGCAGCGCAATCTTGTCAGAGATTTAGGACTCCTTGAAAGTTTTACACAGGCACTTAACTTGAGGTACGTGGGTCATTTCACTGAAGCTGATGACACTACTTTTCATACTCCAGATTATACGCAAGCATAAATCTTCGTAGGATCAGAGCTATGGGTTGCAGAGCACACTGAGATTCAGGCAAGAGTGTTATGTTAGATGAAGTAATTTTCAAAATAGCAGATATTTAAGTGAAAAGTCACTGGAACAGGGAGAAGGAAGAATGTAGCCTTTCTGAGATGAAAATTTTGTTTTACTACAAAGGTTTGAAAGAGTGAAAGAAAAAAACAGAAGGACAGAAAAGTGCAACATGTTTACAACACAAGATATTGCAGAAATTGCAGTAATGGTTCAGTAAAAATAAATGTGTACTGCACTCCAAAACATTTTGAATGCGTATCTTGGTGTTTATGGCCAAGACAGTTCATGGGCAACTCTGCGTCAATTTTAGCATGTATTAAATTATAATTCACATAGATGTCAATTTTAAAAGTTATCAGGTCATAACTTGCACTCATAGCTAAAAACTGGACAAATAAAACACTGATACCTCAGCTTCTCCTTCTGCTGAAGTTGTACAAAGAGTGGCAAAAGACAAACTAGGAGTGTATTAAAAGCTGGAAACTCAGTGACCACAGTTTCAGAAGGTGCTCCTTCTGCCTTGGCGGTGGTCTCCCATGGTTTCCCCATGGCAGCACTCACTTCCCTAGGACCTGGGCTCAAGTTAAGATCTGTTTTGCAGTCACTACTGTGTCTGCATAAAGAAGTATGTGGAGCCCTTTGACTGTTAATTAATTTTAATGAACCAGACTACACCCTCATGAGACCTGTGTTCTGCTGTAAGCAGCGTGGGATGTAAGTGCCTTTCCCCACGGAGGGTCTCGGAGCTGGGTTACTCACCCCAGCAGAAATGCAGTGACCCGCTGCAATGTGGCAGCAGTTGAGCGCTACCCGGGGGCAGAGCATAGCAGCCTCTCAGGGATGAGGACCGTGGCAGCTGTGCTTCTTGGGAGGCTTTCGGGAAGCAAAATGCCATTATCAAGATCGGAGTGGAGCTGGGCTCCTCCTGCAGCCTCCCAGAAGGCGTTTGGGGCTTTTAATAAGCCCCAGAGGCCTCTGGCTCAAAGGCTCTGGAGGCCTCCTGAGGAGGTTGCTCAGGGTCCCTGCGCTTGGTGTGCTCATCCCTGCAGAGGAGGCACGGAGGCGCTGAGGCATGGCTTGGGAAAGCGTGGAAACAAATGAGGCTGAGAAGGGATCCTACTTCCCAAGCACGGGATCTGCTCCGGGGAGGGCAGCTCTGCTGCTGTTTTTCCCCATCGGCTGGAAGGGAGAGCCTGATACAAGCAACCAGAGAGACAGGATTGCTCTGGGAATCAGGAAGGAGATGTGGGGCGGGGGGAGTGGGAAGTGACAGGGAGAGGTAGCTGGAGCAAAGGAAAAGGGATGAGAAATTAAAATAGGTTGGGAAGAGGAACGGGGAGGGGGGGAAATGTCAGACCTAAGCAGGAAATACATGCTGGAGAGAAGAGGGGATTGCCCCCGCTGTGTGAAGTTCATGTACCAACAAGGAAGGTGGCACTTTCTGATATGCTGACCGCTGCTCCCCAATTTCCGTTTGGCATCCCAGGCTTGTGACACCCCCCCACTGGGCCCAGAGTCAGGACCTGTTTGCAGCACAAAGCACCCATGCCTGAGGGAGGAAGCAGAAGGGCAAGTAGGAATTGTGAGGAAACCCATCAGCCAGCACGGGGAGAGAGAGGCACCCATCACCGCCCCCTCCTCTAGATCACATCTTGCCACCCAAATCTCACGGCCTGCTCCCCACACGCCTCCCTTCACCTCCCTGGGTACCACTGACACCACAAAGTCCCCTTCCCTAACTGCCTCTTTCATCCCCCGTTCCCCCCGATCTCTGATGTCCCCAAAGCCACGTTGACCTATGAACACAACTTTTGCCTTCACTGCTGAGAAGCCTTGAGCCATCTGTGAGCGTAGGTAACCGATACCAGGAGTTTTACTGGCACCTGAAAGCAAGACGGAGTCAAAGCATGCGGCCCACAGGGCCGGCGTTCCTGCACAGTGCAGGCTGGGCCTGTGCCATCGATACAGACAGGGGCAAGTTGCACCCACTTTTGAATCGGTTGCTTTGTGGGTATAGACTGCAAGAAAGACAGAGATTTTATCTCCACTGTCTTTTTGCTTGTCTAGAACAAGCCTTTGTCGTGCACAAAAGCTGTTTTATTGCTGGCCTGGCACAAAAATCCTGAACCAGTTTCAGGGGCCAAAAAGGTGATTATAGTCTTTAAAACAGAATTAATTTTCAAACCGTTCCCAAAATATGCCTGACAAACTAACCCAAGCCAGACGAGTTGGCTGTGCTCACGACAAAAAAAACTCAGTGCAGGGGAAACAGCCCTGCTTCGCTTTTCCAGAATATCTGCATCTGAAAGAAAATAATTTATTGGGAAATACATACAGTAGAGTAAAATTGCAAAATAAGACATTCAGTGAGGACTCTATATAAAACCGTGCCCTTTGCCTCAAGCAGGTAATGAATAAAAATTATACAAAGAAGGAATGAACATTCAATGTTTTATATTTAAAATACATTTTGTGAGGAAAACAATGTGGCATAGAAACAGGACTGAAAGGTTCTCCAAGATAATGCCAGAAGCTGCAAGATGTTAGCAGCATTGTCGTATGAGTTTCAAGGTGTAGATTTTTAATTTTCTCTTATGAATCACAGAAGCAGTCGTGAAAGCTGTCATTAAAATTCATTACAAGAAAAGTAAACTTATATTAAAACCTACACCATTCTTCTCCGAATTCTTGGTACTGGTTAGGAAGCAGTGTCTGCTTCTCTGCCAAAACCTTACCTACGCAATGTGATTTAATCTCTAGGCTCTGTTAAATTGGAGTTTTCATACATCACATCCTTCAATCCAGAGTACAAAGAAAAAAAAAAAATTGCAGCCTAGATTTTCAAACCAGCAAGCTACGATTTTAAGAGGCTTCATCTGCCATAATTTTTCTAGGAATGAAAAGAGAATAAAAAATAGAGCAAATATGAAGAAACTAGTTTATAAGTAAATAAAAGTAAATAAACCAGCCCTCCCTCCCCTTTTCCCTTCCTCCTAGGTATATATATGCGCATACATACATGCACATATACTTAGGTATTGCTGCTTTTGATCTAAAAGCCAACTTATTTCTAGCCATTCCCTCTCTCCCAAGGAGAGTCAGTAGTTACAGCGATGTATGCACGTGAGAAAAGTGGTAAAAACGGTGACCTCCTAGTTCATGAGTGGAGGGATGTACAGAACAACCGGGACTGAGCTGTGCCCAGCAAAGGGAGGAGGAAGTTTTCAGGCAGAGCCGCATTTCCACATGCTAGGGGTTGCTCCAACGCCTGCGTCTCTGTAAGTGACAATTTGCAGAGGTGGGCTGAGTCTGCAGGAAGGTCCCTGCCCCGGCTGTGGAAAGGATTTGCGAGGGTTGCTGCAGCGGGCGAGCACTCCCGGGCAGGCACTGGGGCCATGGCGCAGCGGCAGCGCACTCACTGGCCTGGCCAGGATGGGAAGGGCAGGTGGCACGCCTAGGGAGACTGAAACCAGAGCATAAGTTAGAGCAATCATGAGGCTGCTCTAAGATTATGTTAAGCAGCCTGACAGCCTGCTGGTTATTTCAGCAAGCAGAGGAAATCAAAGGCACTCTTAGCATGTCCACTTGCCGGCTCTGCATTCAGATTTGGCCAAACCAATCACAACTAATTCAGTTGTTACAGGAATGTGAGGTACAAGAAGGGTGTTTCTGGGTCTGTTCAAAGAGGCACATGCACACATCCTCTTTACTATGGAGAATGTATCTCCTTGCTTCCCTCCTTCCTTGTTCTTCTCTCCCCTCCATTGGAAGTAAGCCCTCCAGGCCAGGCATTTTTCTTTATATGTAACAAGAGGAGAGCGAAGCCTCAGTCCAACGTGCATTTAATGCAGTCGTGCCAGTCTCCCCCTCCTGCCCCATCCCTCCCTCCTAGCACTTGGTCCCACCCCATCCCCATGTCCTTTCTCCTTCTCCAATTGTAGGGATTTTCATTGCTGTGAGAGGACAAAGGTAACTGAGCTGCTATTGAAAAAAGACTGACTTGTTTTTTCTTCGCTGGGCTGTTTTTAACGTGGATTATTTCCCAACTCAGTCCCCCAAATTGCTTTGATGGCACAACAGAGTGGATAGAGCTGTGATGGGAACAAGGCTGGGGTGTGAGGATGGGTTGGAGAGTGGTTAGACAGCTGTTGCTACAAAACAGAAAAGGAAAAGAAAAGCAAGAACACTAAATCACAGCCAAAGCGTAATGTATTTAGAGGCTTGGATTTGAAAAGCCAAGCACCATTTTCTGCAACGGTTACATTCCTCTGCACGTTTACTTCTGGCCAAGTTTCCTGAGAGCAGAGGCAGCATTCACCAAGTTTGAATTCCTGAGGCTCT